ATGACAGGTTGACCCAGTTAATTATCCTATCTCTGCTTCCTCCCAGCTTCCTGTGTCCCTCCTCACTGGCAGAGCATGAGACTGAAAAAGTCCTTGATTGGAGTAAACACTTCTTAGTAACAACTAAAAACACCTGTGTCTTATCAGCATTGTTCTCAGACTAAAAACAAAACCAAAGCACTGCACCAGCTACTAAGAAGGAGAAAAAGGACTGCTACAGCTTAACCCAGGACACCTACTCATTGACTTTGAAATGTATTGAGATTTGTCTTTCAACTTAAAATTAGTCTTTAGGGCAATTTTACTACTAGTCAAATATCTTCAGTAACAAATCATGTGCACTAAACATATTGTGCTAGTCATTAAAAAAGTCAATTGTAATACATACAAAGACCCATGAATTTTATCCCTTCATCATGCTCTACACCTTGCTACACAGAGACAGCAAATGGATTTGCATCTCTCAATGGAATGCCTGTTATGCCTTTGGGTAGGCTATTTTATAAGGAAACATCTTTGTTATCCATACTACCAATACACTGGTCTTCTGCTCACTTTCTTTGGTTTTGGGACTTAAATTTCACATTAACCGTATTTATTTTTTTTTCAGCTATTTCCCCCCTTGTCCAGAGAAGCCAGAATTCTGGGCAGTTTTGTCTTTCTGCAAACAAGCTCAAGCAATATAAAAATTTACAAGTCATTAACTAGAAATTATTTTTCTGTGTAAGGAAAGTAGTACTTGACTATATGCATGCTGTTAATTTGCTTCAATGTTGATTAACACAGATACACTTAAATCATCTTCTTGTGATCAACATAAAGAAATGGAGTGCAATTAAGATGCAAGCATCAGCTGAAGTTGACTGCCATCCTAAGCAAAAAGGAAGACATGAGTTACAACTTATATTTATTAATATAAATAACTACAGAAAGGAGGTAAACACTTGTGATGTGTGCTCTGTGAGATCTTCAGAACCTGTTTGCAATGCAATAGCTCAATGCTTGTTAATCTCCTAAATTACCCATTGTTGGTAGGGGACAGTACTGCCACCCCAATCTTGTAACAAACTCAAAGACTTACTCTATACTGGAAAGGGCAAGAATAATAGCCCTATTCTGAAAGTACAATGTAAACAAGATCAAGATGCCATGTGAAATTATTTTTATTCACAAAAATCAAACTCAAACTAAAAGTTCTATAGAAGAATAAGAAAAGAGGTCTAATATAGTGAAACACACACATTCAGAGATAACTGTAAAACAGTAAAGGCAGCCAAAAAAAGCAAAACACAAGACAGGAGACTGAAGCAGATCACCCACATTTTTCATGGTTTATAGTCTCCACTGATAAACTGCCTCTCAAATAAAACAAGCTAATCTTAATGAAACCCTCTTATCCTACTTTCTTTGGTGTAAATATGAAACCCTTTTAAAGCGTACTCTGAATTTGGCCTACGAAAGGCTAAAATATTTTGCATCAAGGTGATTGTGTTTAAAGTAAAACACAAACTGCTATTATATTTTGCCTTCATCTGTTATTTCAGTCTAGACCTTAAGATATTTGGCACATCATACACTCTCTGTAGCTATTCTTCTGATTCCAACTCTTCTGCTTCTTTTATGTCTACTCAGATGACATGGCACTGCAGTTTTGGAGGGAGTCTCCAGGAGACTTTGTACTGAGTAGACACAATTGTCTACAACCATAAAACCACAAACACAGGCTTTGGCCACACACAGTATACCTGAACAAATTTGGCCAAATGTACACATACATTTTCTTCCATTTATAATTATTCTCATTTAGCACTGCCATCTCTAACTTAGGGAAGACTTTCTTATTGCTTAAGAATCAGCATGTTCATCAAATCCAGTATCTTTAAGATGCAGCCTGCTGCTAAATGATAGATCTCCCTTAGCTTGGGTCTACTGAAGCAAAACTCCCAAAATCACTAACATGTTTGCTAAAATCTAGAGTTTACACTTTACATGCAACCCAGAAACTGGACCAGCCTCACAGGACCATTCTGAAAAGCAGAGGTGAGAAGACCGTTTACCAAACACATTGAACTGAGACTGCAGAATAAATCAGCAGTGTAAATGGATGGGTAATTTCTCTCTGTATAGTCATCACAAGAATGATAACTATCATCACCTGCAGCTGTCTTCCTCTCCCCATTTGATCTCTACAAAGATATTTGCAGGTCAGGAATCACAAAACAAGTGTGGTACTGTAGGTGAATTAACATATAGAAACATTCAACCAGAACTTATTCATGTACTCTTCTAAGCACTCATTGTGAAAGGCAATGTGTTTGGAACTAGTGTTACAAATGACTTGTGTATAAAAAAAAACCTCATAGGGGATTTGATTCTATAGCAACACTCATTCTATATGCTACAGTCTGTTCACACAAACACCTCGTGCTTCATGTATGACATCGATCTGGATGGTATGCCATCCATTTTTGCACATCTGCCAGTTTATACTTCATTGTAAATCAGGAGAGAAAATTGTTTCAGAGGCTGTAATTTTTTGTCATATAAAACTGATGCCTTAGTCAATAAATTTTCATAGTATACGAAGGACTCGTAATTAAAAAATGAATCCAAACAAAACAACTGTAAATTAAACAAGCAAATATGTAACTTGTTCGTAAGGTATCTTTTAAAATTTGAACTTTATAAATAGAAAGAAAGTATAATGAACACTCCAGAACATACGTGATATTCAGAAAGCAGGCATTCTATTATAAAATCTTAGCAGAGTATGAGCCACATTTACAATCATTAAAATAGTATCAGATATTGATAAACCATAGCCTATTCTATGACTTTTAGGTCAAATTTTACTTCAGTGAAGCACATTAGAAAACAATGATCACCAGGTGGATTTTTTTCACGTCTTACCACCAACAGAAGGTGATAACACCTAGGGAAGTATGACTGGAATGTCTAGAAAGGCCCCAGAAGAGGCCTGCCCACTATTAATCCAGGAAATTTGCTACTAGTGAACATCTTCAGGGATAAAATTGGCCAAACTACACAGGAAACAGTCAACAGAACTTTTAGCATTAATATAAACCACAATTAATAACTTTGATTTAGATATCCAAAACTAGCAACACGCTATTCAGAGTAGTTTGAACAAAATATATAGGAAGAAAGCAGAAAAACTTTCATTCCTTTCCTTTCCAAAAGTGACTGGAAAGTTATGAATTTTTTTTTTTTTTAATGAATTCTTAGAGCTTGGGTTCAGTTTTTGTTGCTTGTTTCAAACCATCTAGCAAAATTAGTTATAATTAAAAAAATAAAATAAAAAGCAACATCAGTGAGACTCATGTTTAATGGTAGACTTGAGAATATTCAAGACCCACATATAGAGAAAAACTATGTGCTTCCATCATTAACACTGGAAAGACTCGTTGTGAAAGTTCTTAATGCAGGGCTAAAATTTCCTTTCTGGCATTTCTGTCCATTTCCCCTGTTCCTTCCATTGACTACCACAAAAAGCCTAATTTCTGTTTTCTATGTAACGACCCATTAGTCGCCAAAAGCAACAGGATCCCATCCTTAGACTTCTTTTCCTAAGACTGAATAAACTCATATCTATGCAATTCTTACATGCCGAGCATACTGTTCTCCAGTTAATTGAAAAGCATTTTACACATTGTATTATAGCATTTCAAGATTATACAATCTCTTGCTCAAACATATCCAACCACTTTTGCTTAACGTGCGTTACAGTATTCCAACCCACTAGGCTTAGCATTGTTCACTTCTACAAAGTATTCTCAGTTCTTTTTGTTTTGTTTTTAAGAAAACAAGCAGAAGTGTTTTCCTTTTAAAAAATGACAGGATTTGATCTTGCTTTCATTCCAGCACAAAACACAAACTAAATATTTGGATATATCACAAAAAGAGAGAAAACAGAATTGGTGACAGCCTAATGGCTCAAGACCACATTCTAACCCATTCAAAGAAATCTGCATCTTACAACATTCAAAATAAACCCACTTAAAATGCTAGCAATGAGTTCTAGCCCTGACCCTTATTTCAGAACCACCTTGCAACATACTCAGTTCTTCAACATGATTCTGAACATGGCAGCAGCATTTTTCTGTCAAATGTCAACAACTCTCCAGCTCATTCAGAACCTGCAAATGGCCCATTCCACTATGAATTAATTCATAAACATTGGAAATAATCTGAGCATCGAGTAACCTTACCAGCTTCTACCTCTAGTAAACCTCTTTGCTACTTTGTTTGCAAATGAAAAGAAAGCAAACCAACTCTTCTCCTCCCAGAGCACCACATGAAATAACAAACTCCAAAAATTTCCAGTTCTAGTGTTCTCATTTTCTCAAACAATTTGACTCTCCATAAATCCACCTTCACTCAAGTTTCCCTATTAATATTTGCTTTCACAAAAAAAGACTATTTTCTTCTTGCGAAGACATGTTTTGCTAAAACATCAAATTCTTATTCTTTTGAGTTATCCCACTAAAGAAAGCAGTTATATCAGCTTGAGTATCTGTCAGTTTTCACTTAACTTTCTCAGTGAGAGAAAAAAACCCAAACCTATCACTCTATTTAATTCCTTGCCTTCTGAGAAAAGTAATACTCGCCACCATAAATTCAGCTGTATTTAGGGCTGTGCATAAACCACAGTAGATTAAAACTTTTTAAATAAACCCTACGCCTATTGAATCTCATCAGGCTCTTTCTGGTGTTTTTTTATTTGTGTGTGGGTCTTGGCCCCTTTCCAATTTCTTCTGGCATCAAGTTTTGGTTTCATCCCATTCAGTAATGTTCGTTCATCCCATTCAGTAATTCAACAAAATCCTAAAGAACTACCTAAAACAGGTTAATTTGATGCATACTGAAGATATAGAGAGTGCAGAGTACACATACTATTTTAGAGTAATAGTTTTCTTCAAATGCATTTTCAATTAACAGAAACCCATGTCTGTCATGGACATGGGCCTATCTATACTCACTATGTGCAGCTGCAGAAAATCTCCAAGCCCAGGGGCACTGTCAATCCGAACAAGAATGCCATCCTTCACTGTTGTGCTGAAGCCTACAGCAAGACGGTCTGTCCTTGTGCTCGGTCTGTCATTAGCTGGCCAGGTGTACAGGATGAGACCGCCACTCTTCCCAAATATATATGTGGCACCAGCTACAAAACACAAATTCAAAGAAAAATGTATTGGTTACACATTTCATTTATTCGCTAATATTTATTTGCTTCCGCAAATATAAGCAAGCATACACTTTCATTAGCTAAAGGGGTGAAATTAATGCCTTCTGCTGGCCAGACTACTGGCAGAACACAGAGAAGGGGCCAGGTAAAAGATAAGAACACCACTTTGTGGAGGCAGTGTTCTCACGGGAGAATGGATAATTGGTACATAAATTCTGAATAAGCCTGAAAGATACAGCAAGGCCATGAGAGCCCCGAGGAAGCCTAAACAAACAAGATAAGAAGAAGCTGGATTTCACCGAGTTAATGAGAACTGTGAACTGTTGGCAAGCTTTTGAGGTCAAGTTCTCACACCTGTGTTTAACCAATTATATGTTAGTCACTACAGGTCTTCAAGACATGTATCCAATCATAATATGCCAAATCACTGTAAGTGCATGTAAGAAACAGTATTTAAGTGGTTAAGGCTTTGTAATAAACAGCTTTTGCCTCATCATATTGATCTCTGACCGAGTCCATATATTTTCTTTGGCACCACTTATTAAAATCCATCAATTTTGTGACAAATGACATTATGAAGCATCTTTGATACTGGAATTGATTCCATATATGCTATAAGACACACATGAAAGGTGCCCTAGACTGACCACTACAACTTCACGCACATACTGTTCCTTCTAAAAAAATTGTAACTTTTCCTTCATAGAGCCATGGCTCTATAATGCTAGAGACTTCTTCTGATGGAAGGAGATATGAAGGTGAAGCGGCTTTTTATCAGACAAAACATATCTGTTCCTTCCCCATTAGCCTTGCACCATTAGACTCAGTAACAAACAATGTAATTTCCTCCTTTTGGAAAGTTCACCCTTCAGATGAGCACACACTCAAGACTCACAAACACTTCAAAGAGCAATTTAAATGTGTATGCATGTTATTCAGAACATCGTCATCTTCCTACACACATCACAGCAGGGGAACTACAAACAAGGAAGCTTCCTCTGAAGGTATAAATCACTCAAAAAATTTCTTATGTATGCAACCTGAGGAAGTACATTTTATTAGTTCCTAAATAATAAAAGACAAGCAGCATTTAAGATAAAGATAAGTGAAGAGCTTATCAAGAATGAATGATTTCATTAGTGCTAATATCCCAGACAACGCCATATGGGACACTGCTGTTCAGGGAAGAAAACAAGCCACATCTGTTTTAGAAGCATGGGATTTAATATGGGGATTCAAAAGGAATATTTGTAAGTTCTCCTTGAAGCTGGACTTGTCTTCAGCTGAAGACTATTCACACACAGTGGGAGACTATCCTTTTCACAGTACTTCTAAGACTTTTGGATATCTAGTCCACATATTTCCAGCACTGTTTGTCTTTACAGTGAGCCTGGGAATTTGTTCCTTGACCTTGTTTTTAAGGACAACACCAAACCTCTACAAAGCCGAGCACTGTCCTGACACATTTACGAGGGCCATCTGAGCTGAGCAAGACAGACCCGCAAGTGGAAATTATTGTCGCAGATGAGAAAGCTGAGAAGCGAAAGCATTTGGAGTTCACATTATGCTTTGTACTCAACACTCCGAGTTAGGAGAAGGATTTTATAACTCAGCAGTTACAAAATCAGCCCATGAGCTTCTTGGAAAATATAGCTAAAATTGCTGTTCTAGACCCAAATCTACAGGCAGGACAGGAACAACACTTTTCAATGCTTCAGCCGCTTATGCACCTCATTTTCCAAGCACTATTGCAATGGGTCATAAGCTACAAAATTGTAAGCAAAAATAACCAGCTCCCATTACTGCATTAGGGACAAAATATCTGTAGAAAGTATAGGCAATTACTGGGGACATTTTCAAATCTGAGTGAAACTACAACAGATGATCTCTTTGATCTCTTCTTGCCCTGCTAACACACCCCATATACCAGCCAGCAACTTGTATCAAGCAACCCTGAACAGACTAAATGTAGTTAGGTACAGAAACAGGTCAGATCATATATAGGTAACTGCTACACTTGCCTAGAAAGCTGCAGCGCTGCTAAAGCCCCTTATGACCTGAATTCCAAATAAATACTACACATTAGTAGAAATAATTACTACACTTCACTCTCACTTAAGATGCTTCCTCTGGACATCCTGGCACACATTACCAAACCAGACATCAACAGCTCAGCACACAGAAAGGAAATTATTTGTGAACAGCTGACCCAATGACAGAGTGAAAATAAATCCACGTTTCCTTCCTTCCAGGTCTGTGCATACCCACCAGAACATGCCCTCAGTAAATTCAAGCAAATGTGTCTAAAATCAGGATTAGATAGGAAATTTCAGTCATAATTCTGAATTAACCAAAGAGCACATTGGCATTTTGGAACTGTGCACATGTATCATTTAGGTTTCAGAAAAATTAATTTTACAGACTGAACTCTATCTTCTCATTCAGCTTTGACTTCAAGATGAGGTGTGCAACTATTGCAAGATATGTAGAAAGGGGTTTTGCCTGTTTGTTTAAAGGCCTTCCTGACTGTGTCTGAAACCTCTTGGTTAGAGAGATGGTTGGAGATTACTGGGTATTGCATTACCTAGGTCTTCCCCCCATGCACAGGTATAGCAATAGCCCACTATAAACTAAGTTACAAATATCCTCCTTCAGGTTATCAGTTATAACAGACTAAAACCAAGGCATACTAACATTTTAAGCAAAACAAGATGAGTTTCCTCATTGTTGATGGCTTCATATATTAAAACCCATTTTCCTGAATTATTCTCACTGGAACTGCAAGTTTTCCTGCTTTTCTTTGTACAAGTTACCAGGCCCTTCGGCAGCAAAGACAAGCGTGGAAGAGAGTTCTTAACTGCTTATGAAGACAGATGATTTCTTTGTCTCTCTAAGAGCCATTTGGCTGCAGGTAGAGCATATCAATGCTTCTATGAGCACCAATTAGAATCAATTATATCTTCATAGGCCTGTCATGGGACTTAACTGCTTAACAGCTTATCAGAGCTGATTTTCTCCTCACAGAACATGATTTTGCTTCTAGACCTAATCTGAAGATACTCAGTACTTTGGTTTTGTGCACAAAGATCATTCACATGCAACAACCACAGCAGCAGAGCCCAAACAAATGTGGTAACAGAAGCCTGGTGGCCAGCAGTTGTTTCTTTCTTGTCCAGATCAGAATTATCTGCATAATGACATATGGCCACTTGCTTTACGTCTGCGTAGCTTGATTTGGAGAAATCAATAAAATATACAATAATTTACTGGTTATATCAACGTCCTTTCTCTTCCCCACCTTTTCAAGGGTATATAGGATAACCATTGCCTTGTTTGGAAAGATATGGCATATTAACATTGTGCCAATACTAAGTTTTTCCCCAGAATATGAATAAAAGTTCACTCTAGTCTGAAAACTCAAGGTGCAAACATCAAGTAAAAGTGGAAGAGGAAAGATAACAAGAGCTACTACCACACTGTGATCAGTTTAAAAACACCACGGAAAACAAAACCAAACCAAACAAACCCAAGAACCAAAATCAACCCAACAACATAAAAAAACAAACCCAAACCAAAACCAAAACATAAACAAAAAACACCCTACACCCCACAATGCATTTAAAAGCTTCTATTTGATTGCAGCAATCATTAGTTTGCAGAGTTTGAAACTCCAAGAGAATCAAACAAGACAAACAGTAGAATTACAAACCTGGACTTCAGGAAAGGAGATTTCAGCTTCACCAAAACTTGACAAGGCCTGAACAACTCTATCTGGTTGGCCTTGCTTTAAGTTTGGACTAATTTACCTCCAGTGGTCCCTTCTGATGTTAAATACATAACTATTTCCTTGTAATATTGCAGAGAATCATAGACTAAAGTGAAGAACTTGGTTAAAGAAAATATCTGATGAATTGAAAGCCTGTTTAGCTTGAGATCCTGTTATTGCACCTGAGCTTTGTAACAGACCTCTTTATTACACAAGAGCACTTATTTTTTCCAAGACACTTTCTATTCAAGACAGACAATGGATAATATACTGTTAATGAGCAGCCACTTGCTATTTAATTTTTCCTTGTTGTTCACTGTTTAGTTATGTATTTCCTTTTATAGATACAACACCAGCTGTGCCCTGAAAACAAAAAAGTCTGGTGGGCAGATTAATTTCATTGATTGATTATTACAGCAACTTCAACTACGCAACACTGACTTCAACCTGCATTGTGGAGAGAAAAAAAATTATCAAAGATGAGCACACAAAATTATTTCCCCAGTCAGCTGACAGCAATCCCACTTCTCACAGTGCCCTAGGCCAGATATACACTACTGACATGTAAGAACAAATGGGAACACAATATGTTCAGCTACACAACTGGGACGCTGAAGTGCTGAACTTGGTAAGCACTGGGAGCTCACAGAAATGAAGACATAGGTAGTGAGGGAACCTCCCTACAGACTTAAGCTACTAGAATGCCATTAGATGGTTAGCATACAAAAAGTTCATAAACTCATAAACATCTAGTTTGGCAGAGTGGCAGTTGACTTCACCCAGAAATGACTTAACTTTTAACTCCAACTTTGGTGTTTAGAGATTTAAACATCAGAGATGGTTATGTTGCAATATACATGACAATGCTGTTATTTAAATTCTGCATATCTAGCTTAAGCAAATTGTGTATTTGCTAGCTATATTCATGCATAAAACTGTTAGATTACCCAGTTTCAGTCAAAACAAAACAGTCTGAGGCAATACACTGCACAGAAAATTCCTAACGGAAAGGGTATAAGCAACATTACAAGCCACAGTAAATAAAGCCTCCCAGTGAGTTGTGCTAAGAAACATTGTTAAAGTTAGAACCTCCGCCTGTAATTTTAAAGCAGTTATCACTGTTTCTTCATCACTGCCCAAAGACTTCAAAAACCTGTCTTAAGGAAGAGTCTCCTTCAATCAACACAGTACACAGCAGCAGCTATATCCT